TAAAAAGTGCACTGAAGTACAGTAACGAAGTATTTGTATTTCGTTACTTGACACCTGTGATTGCCACAAAGAAACTACAACTAGCTTTGAGGACTCATCCTACTAAACAACTTGGTCACATGGCAACAACTTCTTAAATTAACCATTATAAAATATGTAAAATACCAATAATATCATTGGTGGAATTTCATTCATTTCTCTAAAACAGTTTTGTCCAAATTCAGTCCTCAAGGGCTGCCATCTGGCATGTTTTCTTTTTCCTTGACCCAGTTGTGTTAAAAAAAAAAAAAAGAAAGAAACTTTGAACTCTGGGAGAAAGAAAAAAGGCAGCAATGGATAACAAAGCTAAGCTGAGCCAAAAGGAAATACCAGCTTCCTAGAAATGTAGTGGAATAGAAAGTACAATATTTGACTTTGAAATGTCGGGGAGTAAAAGGGGGGCAACATATATAACCCAGTTACAGCAGTTCTGTTGGAATGAGGAAGCCGATAAGAGGCAATTGTTTATCATTCTGGCCTTTAGCAAACAAAACAACCTGCATCTTGTTTATAGTATATATATATATCGCTTTCATTTTTTATAGCGAATGAATGTTAATCATTGATTTGGGATTTTCTCCACTCAGTAGAGTCTGTAGTCTGAAATGTTTCAGATTCAGCTGGTGCAGCTTCTCCATTCCCCTCCTCTCAACCTCAAAGTTCCAAATGTGCAGAAACCAAAATATGCAAGAATGATTATTGTCTGCTACTAATTTTAACGTCCAAACTGAAGCAACTGGTTGTTCCAACTAAAGTAAAGGTCAAAGTCTATGGGCTCAGATATTTTCTGATCCCAGAATGGAGGTTGGACGGTGTTATGTCTGAGCAGGTCCTCCTTATACTATAAGTGGAAGAAAACAGCAAAAACAATTTGGTTCATTTCCTTTAATGTAAATCAGTGTACAGCAAAGCTAGTTTCCTTGTAAGGCACATTTTGGCAAAATGACAATTCAAAGTGCTTTATATGATGACGTCATACATACATTGCAGTGGCATCATCAACAGAAGTCCAGCTGGACTACAGACTGAAATAAATGTTTGGGTTTTATGTTTTAAAAGAATATTGCACATCTGGTTGCTGCAGTGGAGGCGATACAAGTTAATTTATCCCATTAATTACCAGGAAAAACCATTAACGGTAAGTCCAAATACCTCCAGCTCCATCCATTAAGAGAATAAAACAAATCAATGTTAAAATATAGAAACACATTTTCTAAATATTTGAGTTCAGCTAAATAATTTAAAAATTTGGATCCATGAGCAGCATTAAGTAAAGCAAGGTTTAAAAAAACAAAAAAAACAATTTATCTCCTTTTCTTTCATGTCCTTCAGCACACGATGCAACACGGTGGTGGAATGGTCTTCTTGCTATCAATAGTAAAATAATTTCAGTATAATTTAAGCTTATATAATATTAAATGGTATGAAATAAAGCTTTATTATCAATTTAAAAAGTAATCGAAATAATTTCCCCTGCAAATCCTTCATAATGTTGATATGAACCTGATATCAAAATGCTACTACGATGGGGTCCAGGGGTGCTTTGGTTGAAAAGGCTAAAATAAAAGCAAGAGGTTTTTTTTTTTTCCATTTTCAGCTTAACAGATGAGGGAATGATGAAAACATGAAGCGTTTTCCTCTTTTCCTGCTTTCAACCATGTAGAACTCAAACAATTAAACATTGTAAGCTGATTGGTTAAGGCAAGAACAGTAATATACTATATCTTCTTTCATTAAAAGTCAGTTTCATCCTAAAAATAAATGTTAAAATTGATCAGATCATGTCATCATGTCATGAAGTTGGAATGATCAGCAGGATAAAGCCTTTTGGTCCTTCCCAGCCAGCTCAGTTGCAGTCCTTCAAAACATCACCACAAATGATCGAGTTAGTGAGGGTCTTATTTGGGGACGTTCTAATCAATTTTCTTAAACATGAATCACTTTCATACCTTTGGTCTGATATATGTGGTGTAATTCTCAGGAGAGGCTGCACTCATAACTGTAGTATAAACAGTGATTCTAGGAGGATTTTAAGAAAGAAGAAATAAAAAAAGATCAAATGAAGAAAGTACTGGAAAAGAAAAAAAAAATATCTAGATTTTGTGTGAAGACTATAGAACAGGACTAAAGCAGAGGTGCATCTGATCTACATGTGCAGGGTTCCTACGCAGACTTAGAAAGCATGGAGTTTTGTTTAAGGAGTATTCAGGTCCGGATAAATATGAAGAAGAAGAAAATATCTGCATTTCTAGAGTTAAGTCCTAATTTAGTCATTAACTTTTCAAAAAGGTCTTATTATCCTGACATAAGTGTTTTGTTGTGTTTTTATTATTAATGCATTAAAAACAGGAAGATATTGTGTTCGATCACATAAACAAAACAATCCAAAGATTACTTAAAGTTAGCAGATAAAGAGGAAAAATAATCAAACATCTTACTCGTTACAGACGGGAGGCAGTGACAAAACCTGCAGGGAAAGACTCAGACCTTTACAATCTGTTTATATTAGAAATATTCAGACACTCTTAATAAAACCAGTATCAACTAAACCTAAAACCTCCTTACTATTGACTTTACCTTTATTTCAAAATCACATTTTTAAATCAGATGGCTAAAAAATGAGACTGGTGCAGAATAAGAAGAATCTATTATGACTTAAAATCCAAATAAAACACATAAAAATGTGTGGTTTTAAACCCCCTCCAGGCAGATGTTGCAGATTTGCAACAGCTAAATGCCACTTAGCTAATTACTCCACATCCATATTTTAAGAGCTTT